CCAGTGCTGTCCGACCTCCAAACATTCGTACCAAAAGAGCTAGCTCCAGCTATGATTGCCTTGTATGCTACTGCTGTCTTATCTTGTCATGAAGGCTTAAAGAGATTTCAGTTTTTGTGCATCCTTTGTTAACTGCCTTTTGAAAGGAGTCACACAACTAAGACCTGTCTTTGGCATCACAGTGTGATATATCGATGGTGCTGCGCATCACACTGTTGCTCTTAGCTTTACCTTAAACAGTGCTATGCATGTTATCAGCCCCACTATCTTGTCTTGTAATTAGTGAAGACACGGTGGGACCACAGCCACTTTACAACCAAGCTCCATTTTTACACCTCAAACAACTTTTCTAGGTTGAAGGTTAACTAGAAGGCCATTTTTGTTCCCCTGGCTCAGAACAATGAAGCAGCTGAGCAATCTCTCTGCCCAGTCCTCTGTCTCATTATGTTTTGTGCACCACTAACACGAGGCAGATGCAGCAACTGTTTGTCCACCTCAGAAGACTCTCATAAGCTATTTCTCTGTCAAAACAGCATTTGGCTCACTGGCTGTGTAATGCTTGCACGCAAGTATACATAACAGCAGGTGCAGAGCCTCTGCAAGACACTCATACTCGCACCACAGGAGCCATATTCTCGTCCACAGCTCTCCTCAGAGGGACTGCGGTAGCAGACATCGGCACAGCAGCATCTTAGGCCTCTTCGTGCCCCTTCATCCATTCGCCTCTGCACCATGTGTCTGAGTCATCCCTGAGATGATGTTGTTTTTTTTTAAAATGGTAAATGACCATGATGGACCCCTTCCTCAGCACTATAGTTCTTCTAGTAGTATGCAGCTTTTCTTTCTGAAGTTTAATTTGAAAAGAAAGTCTGCCATAGGAGGACCAAAAACTGTATTTCAATTCACTATTACTTATAAAGTTATTCAAAATAAACTTTATGCATGACTTGAGCGTCGGTGTGATGGCTTTCAGATCGTGCAATCTGCATTTTGAATTATGAAACATGATATTCATCAGTCTCTCTGAAGAATTGCTGTCCAACTCCCTGTCCCAGTCTCATTTACAGTGAATAAACAGGCAAATCTGATTGAAGATTTACTCTCAAACCGTGAGAAGCCTGATAAAACACAGACTAACACAACTCCCCCTTTGCCACCGAAGCGATGTACTGTTGGGTATGTTGTTTGCATACTAAAGCATCACACTCAAAGTAATAGCATTTATTATATTGTATTGCAAGGGGACAGAAAGAAGATAGCAGATGATTATGCCCGCTATTTGGTTCATTTAGCAAGAGTAAAGCTGCTAAGATAGCTTGTGACCCAGAGAAGGCAGGAGTTAACTCTCAAAGGCTATTAGGATTTCATAATTTACATTATGTAGATAAGAGCCTGCAAAATATCTCTTCTGCTATATTTTGTTCATTTTGTTATTGTGCCCAAATATAGAAGTCTGCTTAGAATTTATGAACTTGAAGAACTTTCAATACTTGAAAAGTTTTTTTCTTTTCATATTTTGTCCATAAATGTGAAAAATATTTCTTTAAATCAACCACTTATGCTCTGTTTTTCAGCCTTATAAAAGAGTTTTGATGAGGAAAACATCTTGAATGCAAGCTATGATAAGCCTCCAATAATGAATTATCCAAATCCCGTGTTATTGCAGCAGGAGTTCAAATCCATTTAGCACGGGTCTGCGAGACAGCATCCGGAGGAGGTGATGTTTGGTTGTGTAGGAGGTTTACAAAGCTTCAGTCAGCGATGGCTCAGAGATGAAACTCATTCAATCTCAGACTCCTATCCTCAGCTCCAATAAGACTTTAATATAAAAGGTATGGATTGGTACTGCAACTTTATGAGCTAAATAAAAAGATCATATTCTCTAATGAATGCCGATGAACTCTCAACGCACTGGCAGCACATTTGCACACAGTTAATATGCACATGCATGCAGTATTGTGCACACGCTGACCCTTGCATGCAGGCACTGAAACACATTCCACCACACTCCCCCCTGCACACCCACACAGTTGCCTACAGCAATCCTACACAGAGTTAATTTGCATTTACAATTATTTCCCATACGCTCGGTGCTGGTCTAAAGGTGGGTGTTACATGATAAAGCAGTAAGTAATATAACCTCAGTCCTCAGAGAGACTTCACAGACATGGTGTGGTAATGCTGAGAAAGTGCAAGAGGAAATCGGGAATAGAAATAGCTAGAGGATGTAACCAAAAGCTGAAGTTTATTGTAAGTGGATACGAGGTATTAACCTCATAACAAAAGAGTAAACAAATAAGTACGAGATGTCCTTAAGGTTGGAGAAGGTTAAAGAAATAAATGTGTTTTCAGGGCCTTTTTTACTTCATTCTGAAGTAATTCTTTCTTACATGAGAAATAACATTTATGGAAACAATCTTAAAGTATCGTAAAGGAAATTAAAGATGGTCAAACATTGCTACACAGCACCACCTGGTGGACACACTTCACAACTGACTTTTAAATTAAAACAATCTGCATGTAAAGTTTTTTTCTTCCTTCTTGTTTGAAGTTTGACTGTCTATTTTCCATTCCCCAGCAAGGGCCACGACCTTAAATACGACACAAAAACATGTATTGATAATGAAGCATCGAGCTAGGCTTAAGGTTACAGTTGAGACGAGAAGAAAGGGAAAGGATGCCGTTGAACTGGTAACCTAGTGCCATTTGCTCAATAGGTCAATAGCAGATCTTGTGGAAAGAGAAGGCTCTTGCACGCCGACTGAAACAAATCCCAGGGCTTTGCTGGAGGGCAGGTGGTAGTCACACGCAGTGACACTGCTGCGGCCTTGACCTGAGAGAATATGGTTTCGATTTTCCTTTTGTTGCATTGTGAACTTTGAGAGGTTAAAAGCAGTTTAAGTGACTCGGCTTTACTTTTTGAGAAGTGATAGCTAGTCTCTCTATTTGAAGGTTGGCATTAATGTGGTGTGTCAATTCTAGTGCTGAAACAACAAATGAGTGAGAAGGCGAGAGATTACTTTCAAAGGTAAGGGTTGCTCAACATTGAAATTTGATAAACTGGAAATTTGAATCTTAAATGTAACACCCTCATTTACTGTAGAATTTCACATCTATACATGATGTTTTGCTGAGTTATATTTTTATGAATTGTATTGCAAAACAAACTGATATCAAGGGTTGCATGAGAATACTGGGCAGTTTAGTGTGTCTAAACTGGTTAGTTTGCATTGTATGTATGTATACAGTATGCTTGGTTTGAAGTACAAAGGTGAATTAAGTGATTCTGAGCATGGCATGGTTGTTGTTGCCAAACGGGCTACTCTTAATATCCCAGAAACTGCTGATCCACTGAGATCTTCCCACACAGTCGTCTCTAGTGTTTACAGAAAACTCCATAATAAAATGAGCCGGGATAAGGCTATCCAATCTAAACCTCAACATCTGACATGGAAGACAACGAGGAAAAAAATGTGCTCGTATTGGAAGTTTTTTAATAACACATTTCAATATTGCAACAGCCATCAGATTTTCTCCTAACGGGTAAAAATCATTTAAAAACTAACAAAAACAAAAGAAACTTTTTTTTTTCCCAGTTGTATATTCCAAACATCAGAGTTTCTTGGCTATTGCCCTAAAGTCAAACAAATAAAACCCTTACACAGTGAGCAGATATTATATTCAACACATTGTTCTTCAAACAAATTATAAAAATAGATTTAGCATTTTCAAATACATATATACAATATTAAACATATCGTAATGGTCACAGCAACATATTGGGGGACAGGGCGGGAAACATCTCCGGTTTCATTCATCGTGGTGAAGAGGTCCAGGCTGTTTTGTAGTCTCGTGTGTCTGTTTTAAAGGTGTATTTTTGGATACGTGTGATGTGTTTTATAGCAAAAGGAGGGACATTTTTACCAAATTGAAATCCTTAACTTTATTCCAATTAATTTTTGCACCTTCTACTGTGAATCTGTAATGCCCCGATAAATGTCTTCCCCAACCAAATGGAAAAGCCAGATTGCTGTACACAGGGAATTCTGGGAGTTAACTGGAAAAAGTGTAACCATATAGTCTGATGGAGCATGATATTAACAGCAACATAAATTTAAACCTGACAATCCAATAGCAACCAAAAGGAAAAAAAATATCATTGATGTTCTGTAATACTGTATCCGTACTGCAACACACACACACACACACACACTGTAATGTGTATACAGCAAATCTAAACGGTAATGAACCTAAAATCAACTGTTGCAAATCCAGCGTATAGAAATACACAGATACTGTGTGCTGACAGTAAAAAACCTCCAGTGTTCCTCTCACTTCCTCTTTACAAAATAATTTGTTCAGGTACAAACTCACAGTCGAAATAAGTCAACGGAACAAAAACGAAACAAGACAACTGCTTTGCTCAAATTATTATTTTTTAAATACTTAAGTTTAAATAAACCATCCCAACATCCTCTCTGGAGAGGTCTGTGTTGCAGTCTGTAAACATAAATAAATATGGATAAATATCTAAAATCAGACCACCTTCCAGAGATAGCCCGAGTCCTATACAGAGTAATAAACATTGTAGTGAGAGCCTTTGGAGAGGAGGATCGTGTTATCCAGATGAAATCCAGCAAACTAAAGGGAACGATTTAAGCTTTAAATGCACACAGAAAGCATGGAGAAGAAGAGAAAGATATAGGGAATAAAGCAAACGTAGTTAGGAGTAGCGAAACAGACAGCGACGTACAACAAATTCATGAACAATCAAAAACACATTTTCAACCCTTTGCTTTACAATTTCATCCTGCAGCGATTGTTTCACCATCAGTAGTACCAAACAGGATAAATGAATGCTGATATCCCTGCTGAAAGAAGAGCATAATATCAACACAAATATTTTACTTAAGTCCGTTCATGCCATGAGCAAACTTTAGATAACGTATATAGCACTACAATGAATCCTCGCCCCTCTCATTCTGCCACTTTGCAGCTTCATCCAACCTCCGGCTTCACTAACCTGAATAGCACGGTCTTCCCAACCTGCTGCTTTGAAAACGCAAGTTACATTCCAGCCATGTTTATTCTTTAGAGTATTTCTTTACCAGCTGATATGAGATCAGCTTTGACCGTTCTTGATGTGATTCTGTATCTTCGTAGCAAATCAGTTCCTGTTGATGTGAAATCAGCTGTGCTAGTTCTGAGGCATTGTTTTGACCCAAGGCCAATAAAATAGTTCCCTTCATCGAGAATATCTTGGTTTTTAGTGAATTTATGTTGTAAAGGGATATTTCACCCCAAATGTTCACGTGTCTTCGAGCTGTAGTTCAAAATTGCTGTGCGCGTCTCTCCCACAGATCAGAGTTCGGCTTCAGACAGAGACATTTTTAATTTGTCTTTATGCGCTGATCTAGAACCAGTAAGATGGAGCCAACACAGGCGTTGAAGGTCAAAGTGCAGATAGAGGTCACAAAAAGTCACATGACATCACTCCTCTGCTATCCCCCCCGGTTATGACATGAACACAATGTCACAACTGATCGCAGTCTTCAAGGGGGACTTGTTGAAAAGAGAAAGGAAGGAATAAAGGAAGGCATGAGGAAGTGTGGGAAGGAGGAGTAAATAGATGAGTGCAGTTAGCTGAAAGATCAGCTCATCTATCTTTATGTATGGAAGAGCTCTCTCTCTCTCTCTCTCTCCTCGCCTCCACCCCATCATCCATCTGCACACATGTAAGGATCTGCAGCAGCACGAGACTAGGTGAGTTGACCGTTTAGACCTGCACACCACGCCCGTGCATTTGGATGACCTGGGCTCTCAGAGTCTGGATGGCAGCCAGTATCAGCTTCTGGTGCTCCAGGGAAGTGATGCCAAGGCTCAATACATCTCTGTGAACACAAGATTTACAGAGATCAGAAGATGTGGATTGATTGTTTTTTAACGATGTTTCGCTTTTATGATTTTTGTTTAACAAAGATGTAAGACTGAAAAGGCAGTTTTAGTCAGCTTACTTTAAAATGCAAGCCAAACCCAAATGTTAAAAAACATGATGCAGTGGAATTCTAATCCTTTACGCTAAAAAAACACACCATTACTGTATCTTTGACCTAACAGTAAGGACACCAGTTATTGCAGAAACATTTTTTCTGTAGCAATCTTTATATGAAAGAGAATGAGGCTGCACACATATGTTTTCAGGGAATACCACTTCCAGTTTCTTAAATGTATTCGTTTGCGTCTTTATATTAATTCAGCACAGACGCCCAGCTGTCTTAGATATGGCTGACGCAACTCTCTGACACACACCCCTGAGCTCAGATGGGAAAGACGTCATTTTAGATTCAAATTAAGAGATTAATCTCAGAGTTCACTGGGTCAGTTTGACACTTTGAGGCTTTTAGAAAACTGGAAAGGTCTGCTGCTTCTTAGAAATTCCTTCACTGTTAATACTCAACACTGTAAATAAGAAACTCGTGTTCTTCGTGTCAAATTTTTTGACACGAATGGTATAACATGTATGGTATAACAAGTGCCATATTTAGACATATTTAAATGGAGCTAAAAAGGTTGGTGCCTTCTGTAACATCTCATTTTTTTAATATACAGTTAACATGTTTTATTATAAGTAAGTTATCTAGTAAATAAACAGCCAAATATTTGCTCAAACACAGGGTGATGTCTCCTTACCTACATATATCTTATAAACACTGATTCAGTTGCTTTTAAAGTCTTCAATATTAGCAGTTTTTTACTGGAATGAATTTGCTTCTTATTCTTTTATTAAGGTACCCTTCTGTTAAAAAAATGTAATGAAAAGGTCACACAGTCAGAATTGTACAAAACTACTCACTGTACAGTCATTCGTGCCACAGACTCCAAGTAGCAGTATCCCGCAGCAGTGAAGTTGTCCTTGTATCGGCCCATGTCTACTGCATCCAGCCACTCTCCAACAGAGTTAAAAGATGGGAAGGTGGGGAGAGGCCTGTCAGCTAGTGTAATGGATGAACTCAGGGTTCTATAGTGGGGGAAATAACGATTAAGGCTTTGTAAAAGTAACTTTTTAAAAAATTTATACATTCAAGGATCTACTCAAACTCATTTAGTCATGAGACTGTACCTTCGCGCCAGTGTGGAGGAACCGATACCATCAGGCGAGCGAATGCTCTTGCTGAGGGCCGAGTGGATCTGACTGAAGCTGGGCCTCTCCGTCCTCTCCTTCTGCCAACAGTCCAGCATCAGCTGATGGAGATGTGGAGGGCAGTTAACTGGAGCTGGCAGCCTGAAACCGTCCTCGATGGCCTTTATCACCTACGCACAGAAAGAGGAAATCAATAATATCAGATTAGAAATTAGTTTTGTGATTTTCCAGTACTCATGGTATAATTGGATACATTCTTAAAGAGCATGTCTGAGTGGTAGGGCAGAGTGGGAGAGGTGAACGAGGATGTAGAGAAGTTTTGTCCTACTTTCAAAGTTCAATAAGATGCTTAAAACCTTTTCCCCTTGCAGTGGACTTGCTTAGTTGCCAAGAATAGAAGTCTTACAGAACAGAACAGAAGACTGTATAGGTCACACGTGGAAAAAAAAAATTAAATAAAAGTACATAATAATCACACTACCTAGAATGTCCCACTGTATGGCTTAAAATCTAAAACTGACCTTGCAAGCCTGCGGCAAATGTAATACTTAGATTTCACAGAGATATCATCACCCTAATATGAGTGGAATACATTATGTTTTTGGTAATAAAAAGGCTCCAGAACTGTACAGCAGGTATGCAATCACAGAGGGGAAAAAAGAGCCCCTGCAAATTTGTTCACAACTAACTGACGCTGTATGCAGACTGAAAGGTCAGTTAGTGGGATATCCACTGTCACTTGGTGTACTTCACACGATACTTACTGGGTATCACAATAACAGCACCTTTTCATTTCCAATAATACAATATGCGGTAGCTCTTTGGATTGGGGGGAAAAAAATCAAACCAGCCAAGTTTGAAATACCAGAAACATCAAAGCAATGAAACAAACACTCCATTAAAAAGTCTGTGCTTTCTTAAATACTCCCCAAAACATAAACTATCAAATTTCAGAAAATGTTTAATCTCTGCTCAGCATCATCACCAGGCCTCTGAAAACTCACTGTCTTCAAACAGCAGTGCTTGAAAGCATCCTTCCAGACTCTTGATGTTCTTTACTGCTCCATCAAGCTAATGTCGCCCCCTATTAAAAATCATTCACTCAAACACCCCACAAGATATTTCCTTTCAGTATATCTAGGGACATGGGATATATCCTCCACCGCAACCACTCTAAGAAATACAATCTCCTTAAAGGAGGCAATAAAGTCTGAGAATAATCACAAAAATGACATCCATCAGCAGCATTAATTCCTAAAACACTCTCTTCTCTCTCTGCCTACCCGGCCACCCACTTCCCCACTCCACCATCCTCTCAGCCCCTTAAGCTTCTATCTCAGTAAAGAGCATTCATAAAATGCTTTTCAGCATTTGACATTTTCCATTTAATCAGAGCCAGTAGGTAAAGGGCACGACGGATCACAGGTGGACAGGCCGACCAACAATTCCGTTATGATATAATGTATCAATTTAAAGTGGATTAATATCCCTGGCGCTCTACAAGCTTGATCTTTGCCCTCTCAATTGGAAAGTTTGATAATATAAACCAGGCTGAGATGAAACTTTCGCCAGCTTTATAAAAGGGCACTAACAAAGAGTATTAAAAAGCTACCTATTCTTGTGCTCGCTGAATAACTCATGCATATTAATTTGGGACATTCAAAAATGGAACATGCAAGTAATCAGTTGCTTTACGCGTAGCTGCCTGCAGAAAATGTAGTCTTTATGATAAAATTCATTTGAAAAGGCATTAGGATGATGAAAAATAATATGTCTTGAAAAAAGCTCTTTGCTGATAATGCCTGGAGTGTCACTGGCCTCACTAATAAGAAAAGCAGTAACAAGGATCTGCTGTCTGTTGTCTCATATGCAGACCTGTATCCTGCTTTCAGCTATACTATAGAGGCATGACATCCTTAAAAAGGGGGGAAATATAAACCTCTTTTTTAGGACAAAGAAAAAAGAGTGACAAGGAAAATGGGCCCACCCACAGTGACTTTTAAAGGTTGCTAGTGGTGGCAGGGTCCTATTAACTGGACAGTCACTCCCCTCAAATAGTGCTTTACATTTCTTGAAATAAGCTGACTATTTTCTGAGAGATTTTCTACACTTAATAGCAGGGTGGCAGGCAGGGATAGGCAGTGGACACTAGAAGGGGGTCAATGCATCCTTAAGAGAAAACAGGATTGGTCATGGAGCTGATGCAGACTTAAAGAGGGGGACTTAGGCCCTGCAATAGCTCTCAGAGGTACTGTGGCTTCTCGGTTTTCTATTAATAAGATGCATGGTGGGCACAGATAGAAAATTCATTGATAAAAAAAAAATTAGAGAGCGGCAAAAGAGAGAGGTAGGGTACAAAAGTATAGAAATTAATATTGAAATTGGAGCAAGGAATATGGAGAATTTAAATGCACACTTACATCCTGGTTGCCCATATCCCAGTAGGGTCTCTCGCCATAGGACATGACCTCCCACATGACAATGCCAAAGCTCCAGACATCTGAGGCAGAGGAGAAACGATGGTACTGGATGGCTTCTGGAGCGGTCCACAGCACCACACTTTTCCCTCCGTGCTGGCGGAGAGGAACAGGAGAGGTAAGACAAGATGTAAAAGGGTGTGGAGAGTATATTTCCAGCAGATCAAAGGAACTGTTAGGAGATTGGGTTCACCTTGGACTGAAATCCTAAAATAACCATAGAAACACTGGATTTTTCTCCCCCTCTACCTCAAAGCCCACGTGACCTCACCTGAACTTGACATAACATATGATAATTCCCATTTGATCAGACTCATTAAGAAAATATGCCCTACATGTGTGAGTTATAAGATGTATAAGGTTGCAGGAAAAATGTTATCTCACCAGCGTGGTGTAGATGGCCTCTATTTTGTCCTCCTGAAGAGGTCTGAAGCCAGACACCTTGCAGCCAAGGTTGGAGTTAACCAGCACCTGCGATTTGGAAAACAGGCTGATTAGCATGGCTTACATTTGGAGGGGAAATGCTCACAGTATGAGAGCTCACTACCCTGGTGGGCAAAGCTCTTATCACACCAGAGACAATTGATTGTTTACAAGAACAGATGTTCCTGATTTTCCACAACATGACCACTGCATCTGTAGTTTGATAGACTGCCTCTTCTATGAAAGACAAAAAACCAAACAAAACACACACACACACACACACACACAGTCGTGTTTTCATATCCTTGTGGGGACATCTAATTGACATAATGCTTTCCCTAGCCGTTTACCATAACCGTAACCACCAAAAATGAAAGCCTAACTCTAACCCTAACCATACCCTAATTGTAACCCTGACACTAAAACCACATTTTGAGTCTCAAAAATGCCTTCAAACTTGCGGGGACGGGTTTTTTGTCCCCATAAGGGGTGTTGGTCCCCACAAAGATATGTAAACATGGTACACACACACACACACACACACACACCCCTAATGAAACGTGGGTGACACAATAATTTAGACAGTTTTGTCTAATTTTCAGCTTCATGTAGTCTTTCAGTAAAAAACCTACAGGTGAGTGCTTTCAAAGATGTTTGCAGACAAGAACGAATTGTAGTCTGCAAAAACTCATTATAGAACACGACATCCTGTTCATCACACCATACCTGTCCTCTATCATCTACTCCCACCTGCTCCCCTTACCTTGTGCGCGGCGAGCCGTTTGTGGACAAAGCCCATTTCGGTGAGGTACTTCATCCCCGACGCCACTCCGGTCAGCAAATCCATCAACTGCATTATACTCAACTGGCCTTCATGTTTCTGAGGTTACAGAAGGAAAAAGAGAAAGATGAAGAAGAGGTGGGAGAGAAGATTGTGAGCAGGGTGAATGGAAGGGGGAGAAAAAAAGCACATCTGCCTCTGCTTTACAATGTTGTGCTTGCTGAGCTGAAAACCTTTATTTGGAGAATAAAAACAAACAGGCCATTAATTCATATCATTATAAACCACAGTGAAGTGGTTCACAGAGCAAAGGGCCACACTAACAGTTTACAGAAGCTTACAGCAGCTTTGAGCAGAAACACTCCATTTGTGCAGTTAATTATGCTATGTTTTCCTTATTACAGTAATAAGCACAAGAATTGCTGCCCTAGGACCACATTATATTAACGGTATATTTAGGACAAGTAGAACAAAAGTGTTGTTAGTGCAGCTGCTTGAAAACAGAGAGTAGTAATGAGTAATTACAGTTTAATAATGAGCATCAGCACATATATTTAAGATGAATGCACAGTAATGAAACTTACCCTAAGGAATGAATCTAAGGCTCCGTTAGACATGCACTCCACTATGATCATCATGGTGTTTCCTGGACAAAGACATGACAGAGGGCATATATGAACAATTGAAACGGGGATAAAAATGTGAAGTCAAGGGAAAAAGGGAAGCAATAGCATGATAATAGAGACATTGGGAATAGGGAAGGAATAAAGTGAGTCTAGTCCACTTGGCAAGCATTGTGCGAAGCCATTCTTCACTCGGTGAACTGTAGTGAAGCCTGGAGAACCTGTGCGCTGCCCTGGCTGTCTCAGCAAGTTTAACGACCCTGAAACACTCACACACGCACGCTCTTACTGTGCACAATAGCACGCGCTCATATACACTACACGCGTGCTCACACACATACTGTGCCGAGGCCCAGATGGCAGGGATCCAGTAGTGCTATGAAGTGCACGGAGGAGGGGAATGAAAATAAAACTGCAGTTGTTGGAAGGGAGACGAAAGGAGGAAAAGATTGCGGGAGGTTGAGACAGTAAGATAAACCTTGACAGATATGTAAACAACTTTACATCTACAAACACATATTCTAGGATGGAAAGGTGGTCTGATCAGTCCTGACAGTTTATGCAGGCATAATACAAGAATGATAAATTGCCACTGTAAAATCCCCGGTTTCCAGTTTCCCAGCATTACTACGCTTTTAGGAAGCTATTTGAAAAGGTTACCAAATATGCTGTGGGAAGCGAGAGCCAGGGATGCTGCCATAATTTGCCAGCCATCATGTAATTAATGTGAGCTGGATAATGAGTCTGTGGTTGAACGGGCTTGCGCAGGGCTGGAATGGCCGATGTATTCAGCTACAACCATGGACCGAGTAGAATCATATTCTGTTTTAAAAGA